TTATCCCTGTGTTTTTTTCGTTTTGACGCGTCTACCTTTTGTCGTAGTTCTGAACACTGAAATCTATTTCATGAATAAATTTAATTCATATCTGGATCTTTATGTCCTCTATTTTTATTTAAAATATAAGAATTTGAGAGAAGTTTCTTTACTATAGGATCTACATCTATGAATAGATATTCATTTCCTAGAAGCTTCAGACGGTGTGATTTTCTCAGTGATTATAATGAATATAGGCCTATATGGATGAACAGATAAACGAATGCGATTTTCATAAATACATGTATAGACCAGTTTGAGGTCGCATGCTGGACATGGACGTATTTTTAAAAATATCGCAGAGGAAATTGTTTTCCCCTGTAAGATCTTCTGTAGCATTTTCAACTCTTACATCGACCATGTAAACATTGAATCGTCGGCACATATATTGCGTAAACATTTGTTGTGGTAAAATGTTTTATGCGTTGTATTTGGCAAAAAATTGAAATTTAACACACTTCTTTTGACAGAAAAGAAAAGTTTCTTTTTGCAAGTTTTCACAAATCTAGCAAAAAAAAATTAAAACGTGTGTAAGAATGACAGAGGAAACTAAGAGAGGTTAATTCTGACAATCAAGGTACTACGGAGGGACCAGGTATACCAGAGAAAGAAAATTATTTTGAGCATATACATTTAAAAAAAAAATTCAAATCATCATGCTCACGGGAATATATTTGAAAAATCAATTTATTTTTTTTAAATTCACGAGGACATGAACAAAGACACTTCACCTCAGCATATTTCATGAACCACGTGAGCATGAAGCGCTAATTTATAAATGTCATTCAACAATTATTTTTGAAACAAAACAGTTTGCACTATAGTTTTGACGTCAAGTGTGGCATTATGACGTCACAATTGAGATATGTAGAATTACCTAGTTCATGAGAAAATGAATTGTTTTCTAACTTGCATTGAATCTGAAGGAAAAATATTTGCAAATGTAAATATTAAACAGTGAATCACTCAAAGGATGACTGCACTTAACGCCTGTTTTTGGGTCCTTTTCGGTTGCTTCTGTTGCTTTTATATCTAAACATTATTTCACTTTTGTATGTTTATGAAAGAATCCTGTCAATTTGGAACCAAATTTAAATCTTAAAATGATTTTAGACCGTAATACAATAAAATGATTCAATGTTTTTTGTCCTTATTGCTTTCCAAATATAGTGAATTTACACTTACCTGCCCTTGATTGAACATTAGATATGCATGAGAGGTGGAGCTAACATTGTAAGAATGGGTCTAAAATTAGACTTGATAAATAACAATGACATGCTTGGAAAAAAGAACGTGATCACTCTTTCCAATCTCCCTCTCCATTCTGTATAGCACAAATACACTTCTGACAAAGGTTTCAAAACGAAATTAACAATATGAGCACATCAATGTGATTAAAGCAGATTTTATATCAATGCAAGATGACTTAACGTGTTCGAACACAATGTCCTAGTTAGCACAAAACATGCTACCTTACAAGTCACGTGACGGAATTTAGTATTCACAAAGTTACCTGAAGTAAGAAGTCACGTGGTGAATTATAATATTCAACAAGTCACAATCCTTGGTTACAACACAGAGAGCGAATGTAAGAAGAAGCAATTTTTTCTCTTTTTAACCATGAGCGCATGTTTGTCTATTAATCTCCTTTTGACACATTGTTATTTATGCAAATATACAACTACTGTTAAACGTAGAACAATAAACAAACATGCGCTGACTATGTATAAAGTCAGTTAAAAAGTGGGCATCCTCGTTATCGAACAGAGATTAAAAAAATTGTGATGACCCCTGCCTTTGAAAACAGGTTCGAACTTCGTAAATACACACTTTTATTAAACGTAATTACATAAAGTTGTAGATTGGATGTTGATCATTCTTGCAATGAAAAGAAAAATGCTTGTTATGAAAGTTTATTTTGTCACAAATTTCACATGTCCTTAAGTGCAGTCGTCCTTTGTCAAATAAGATAACAGCTAGGATTTTTATATACGGTATATATAGCAGATACAAGTTCTCTGAAATAACCTATTCATTCAATGTGTTCAAGTGACTCCCCCCCCCCCCCCCCTTTCCGATTCCAAGTCACAGTGCAGAGAACTCGATGAATGTTCAGAGCATGAACAATTTGGCCCTTGGACCACTGTGCACTGGTTTAGAATGTATATAGTTATATTAATATATTTATATTAATATAATAATGGAATGAATATTTTGGAGATGGGGAAAAAAAATATGCATACTGTTGTTTTTTGTGTACATGATGCTTTTATCATTCTGCTCTACGTATAAAATGAGCAACCACCACAATATTTTCAGAAAAAAATATTAATCCATACGTATTTTCTAAAGTTTTTAAACAGATTATGCATATTAAAGGTTCAGCAACAAACCATCAGATTAAAATTTATGAAATCTTTTAAATATTTTAGGAAGGGGGGGGGATTGAAATGCATGTAGCTTAAAAAAGAATGTGATGACCCCACTTCATATTTTAACCATAAGTCACTTATAATAATTGTTACAAAATACATTAACTTTAGGAAAATTCGTTGGGCAATTTTTTGTCCAGATGTTGAAAACTGCTCTTGGGATGAAAATATTACTGCAAATTTACAATGACTACTCCCCAAAGCAACTGTGGCATTACCGATACAATTTTTATTTTCAATGAATATAAAGCATATTATTTAAATATCTGGTGAAAATTATTTAATTTGTTTAAATTTTGATACCTGTATGGCATACTTAAAATTTCACTACATAAATATCAAATTATTGAAAAACGGTGGTTACCATGGCAACCATATCTTCTTTATAACCCTGATGACCATGGTTAACATTTTCATATTATGATACCATTAACGCAAGGCAAATTATATGTAAAAATGAGAAAAATTAATAGAGCGGATTTTTTTCATGGACCCTTGCAATCTCTTCCTTAAGGGAACCCACTCATTATATAATTTACCCGCATTTTTTGATCAATAGCGTTAAAATTGAGCATTGGAAATGAGGGATTTTCATCAGTGAGATTTGTTGTATTAAAATGACTGCATTTAAAACAAAAGTAAAACAAGTAAGAAAGTCCTACACAAAATATTTCAAACTAACATTGCTAAAAATTAAATGTGCACCTTGGCACCACCAATAGTTGATTTAATGTGCCAATTTTCACTTCAATGTGACTATGGCATGTGGCACAAGCCCTTCCCAATCACTGTAGCTTACCTAAGCTGAAAGTGTGCAGCATCCATTCTGTCTGTCCCTTCATGGACATTTAATATTTTTTAACTTCTTCAGAACTACTGGGCCAATTTCTTCCAAATTTGTCACAAAACTTTAAAAAAATATATATATGTGAAAGCTTCCTGACATACAATTGAACTTTAGTAACTCGAACATTAACATCTCAGATATCATGAACATTTCAAAGTGAGTTCAAAGTTCGAATTTCTCAGTATGTATTTTAAACTCGATATCTCAAGTTCTTGGATATCTCAAAGTTTTTTCTTGGTCCCATTGAATTTGAGATAATGAGACTTGACTAGTTTCAATTCAAGTTTGTTCAAATCGTGACTCCCAATGGTAAGGTGGGGCCACAAAAGGAGATCAAAGCTTTACATGGGAATGTATATATATGAGAAAATTGTTTTTTAAAATCTTCTTCTCAACACTGGCAATGCCATGATTACTGGTAGTCATATTGATGTGCAAGCATCCTCAGGTAGTGAAGCTTCAAGTTTGTCCAAATTGGGGACCTCAGGAATAGGACGGGGTCACAGTAAGGCACCCAGGGCTTTGATGGGATTACAATGCAGACATGATTCTTAAGGAGGTTGGATCCTGCCATCAAAAGTAATGAGAATTTTTTATCAAGTATATTTTTAGAATTTATACACATAGCTTAATTAAAAATCAAAACGAAAAATGGGGGTCAATGCGCGTCTTTTGGCGCTACAGAGCATTTAGTTTGACCTTTTTGCACTGTAAATATGTCTTACACATAAATCAATTTTTAAAGTTTTTCCTCCAATATTTTTTATTCAAATAAATTATGGGAACAAACACAGTCTTATTTCATCTTGAATGGACTCATTAAAATTTGTGACAACAAAAAATTTTTTGAAATTACTCCGCATGTTCAATTATTTGACCTTTTTGCACTCAAAAAATTTCATTTTTCTGGCATTAAAAATTCAACAAGCAAAAATATCATTTGAAAGTAATGACATTTTACTGAATTTAAGAAGAATGGTTAAAAGTATCTTATATATTCAGAAAATTAAATAAAAAGTGGGGGTCTGTGATGTTAATTTTTAGATATTACTAAAATAGTGCTAATTTTAAGCTTAAAATAGGGATATTTTTTTCTTGATTTTCACAATATATTTGCTATATTTATCATATATGATGATAGAATTCATGACAGCTTATTTAATATATAATTTAGGACCAGTATAAAACAGTTCACTGCACAAAATAACTCTTTGTGCAGACTGTATGTAAAAATAGGAATCCAAACTTAACATACTTTAAATACTTCGAAAGAGAAAAAATGATCATTTTCTTCTAAAAAACATTCCGCCACAAAATATAGTTCCTCACTTAATGCTTTTGGTATGGAATTTAATAATGGAGTTTTAAATGAATATAGTTTAATTGGCGTTGTAGAATCCAAAATTATTGTAATAATTAAAACTTTATGCAGAATTTTTGAAATATAGGTTAAGATATAAATCTGCTCGAAAGCTCAGGAGCGAACCTCGTTAAGTCAAATGAAAAAAGTGGATTTAAAAATGTCCCCGAAGAGGCTGGGGGCCAGAAGCTCTGGCGTAAATAGTGCAAAATCCTGCATTCTGAAGATTTCCATGTTTAGTCATATAAATACTGAAGCATCCATAGATATTTTAGATCAGTTAGTTCAAATGAGGTATAATTTTCTTAATGTATTTTTGTAGATTTGAAAAGCTGCATATTCCACATTTGAACATACAAGACAAGTACAAGACTATATATTTGCAGTATGAACAAGAGCTTGAGGAAATCAGAAAGGTTAATTATTAGGGCTTATAAAGGACTTGCCATCTCATAATTGCAGAATTCTGGCCCCAGGATCATGAAACAGACTTCGACTTAAGTCAAATTTTCAATCGTCTATAAATTGTTTAATAATTGTTTACCTTATCTCTTTATTTGCAAATAACAAAAATTTTGCAAAGCAATGATGAAAAATATTTTAATTTTGGACTGCTTAACTTCTTTAACAATTCAGTACAACATGAAGATTTTGACTTAAGCTTAAGATGCTTCATGATCCCGGGGCCTGGTCACTTTGGAAATTACTTAATGATTTAGCTTTTGAAGTAACACTAATATTACCAAGTTCATTTTGGAACACAACTTTGAGAATAACTAGTATTACATGTATAATCAATGTCACATAGTGTCTCAAAATTGAGTCCATCAGTGATAATGTAGATTCTATGTATCATTTCAAGAATTGAATGAGAGTTGTAACGTTGACTGATTTTTTTTTCTTTAAATATAACAGCTGTATACAAAGTATAAGGATGACCCTCCAATTGTTCGAAACATGCCACCAATTTCTGGTAAAATCATGTGGGTCAGACAACTTGCAGAGAGAATTCAAGAACCAATGATGATATTTGTAGTAAGATTATTATTTCCTAGTAGCAGGGAATTCCTATGACTTTTGTATGAGTATAGAGCTTACATGAGTCCCTAGATCCTTATTACAAAATAGAAAACCAGTAAAAAAAAGGTTTAAAAAATAATGCCAGGTCCACCAGAAATTTTAGCAAATAAACCTCTGAGGACCTTTTTGTTAAATATAATACATATGGCTAGCACAAGTCATTTATTTTGTGCTTTAATCGTGTTGCACATTCCTAAAACAAAAATTTATTTCACAGTAAGTACCCATTTAAAATATATCAATACATTTTCTAGGAGCAGCCATCATGCATGAAAACAGATGATGCCAGAAGAATTATTAAGAAATACAACAGGCTTGCAAAAGTTCTTCTGGAGTATGAAATTCTGTTTCACCTTGCATGGAAAGAATCAGTTGATGTAGCAACAAAATGTAAGTTAATAAGGCCCCTATATGAAATGCAGGAGCCCTATAAGGCTCCAGCATTGTCCATCTGCCCACTCTTCTGTTGTGACAGGATTACTCATCTTTCACATTTTCAAATTTTGTATTGAAATATTTTGCAATAGTAGAAAGACATAGCTTTTGGGGTCATATCAATTTTTCTATCTGGCTGTATGTGTATCTGCATCTGTACTACCACATGTACAGTGTATATAGGAGAGAATTGTACTTTGCTTTGAATATCAAATTTTGAATAGCAATCAAAATGTAGATTAAAAAACAGTTGGTTAAAATTTTTAAATTTTATTTTGGAGCCAATATGTTAAAAGTATTGGATTTAGATTTATTTGTGTTTTAGATTTGCAAGTACCAGTTTTAGTTCGATACCCACAGACACCTTCTGGAGTTTTGCTGGTGAACTTTGATCCTTACATCTTTGAAGTAATAAAAGAGTCAGAGTACATGATAAAACTGAATCTTGAAATTCCTGAAGCAGCAAAGATTCTTGTTCATTCCAAGGAGACATTAAAAGCTCATGCTTCACAAATGAAGGTTTGCAAAAGAAATAAGAAAAATGCATTTTAAATATCAACTTTCTGATATACATGTTGGGTTGTTGGTCAGTCAGTGGACCAAGTGTGTTGAATTTGGTTAAGATTTAAATATAGATATTTTCATCTTATGTTATCTGTTTTATATTTTTGAAAAGTAGCTTAATGATTCTCAGGCTTCCTGAAGTCTAGAAATAAGAAAGATTCTAATATAAGGCCCAAAATCTCAATACTTTGTTCTGTTTATTGGGTTTTGATTTAGATGAACATTGTTGCAATGTATACTAAATATTGGATAATGTTGGATTTTTTTTTTCAAAACACTACTATATTTTTGGTCTGTATGTAATAAATCTTAGTACTTGAAAAGCAGGGAGTATATAGTGATGGG